CTACGGTATCTGAAAGATGGAACTTTTTTACAGCTTCGATAACCGGTGTGGACAAGGAGACCCTTCATTGGAGGGGCAGGGAGATCTTGGAGCATCTCGATGTGGTTATGACAGCGTGTTTATTGTTGTATGACGCATCTCTGGACGCAGACGATGTAGCGATAGCAGTCGCAACAAGGTGGGTACGCACTGAGGTCTCACTGAGTCCTCGGCTCGATCGAGGGGAGAGCGATCTGCAGCAAGAGCAATACATGGACAGGAAGATCTTCCTCGGACCGGTGAAGAATGTTTCGAGTTCTGGGAGCCCGAAACTATGAAGAACCAAGTTAAAACACGATAGCAATCTCAATTTCGGGCGATGAACAACTGGCCACGAACTATTGTGCAGGCGGGCTGGATTGTGTCGTCACGAGAACTCTCTTCTGAACTCCATGAGTTCACCCACAGAAGATTGAGTCCACGATTTTCTCACAACAGCTCTATACGCATTGCTCCCGAGCTGGATTCAAATCTTGATGCTCGCTCACCCTTTCTCATGTCGTCTGTCGATCATACTTACATGCCAGTGCCACTTTTTGGTTAACTTAGTCAACGACATATCGACTTGCCATGATAAGCATCAACTGTTCGCCTCTCTTCCCCCAATGGAGACGGGAGTAATCGCGCCTCATGTTGCCTATTGGTCGGACAGCCCAACCAACTTTGGCTTCTGGATCTCTAAACAGGCCTGGTTCTCTCGAAACTCGCTGAAGGGCGTTCTCCAACTTAAACTGTTCTTCGGCAAACAAGCACGACTATCGGCACCCGTGACCGGAGATTGTCGGCCTCATTACGTGATCAGAACAAGTCTTTCTCCGAAGCTGGGACGTGACTTGTATGCCACCAACGTGTGATAAGTGCCGCTTACTGTACATTTCGAAAGGTTGTTACCACTGGAAGTGAATCTTCAGAAAGCGAAGTCCGATCTTTACCAGCTCTGCCTCGAAACGGAACCCAGGCGGGTCAAGTCATCGGCCAGATGACGGCGGGACAACTAGCTGGACAGGTCCAGTTCTGTATTGCTGGTGTGCTGCATTCTGGAGAAGTCCAGGTAGGTGTGTTTCTGGAAAGGTTTCATACTAACGTATGGCTTATAACTAGTGGTGTCATGCTCGTACCCGCACCTACAGCTTTGCTCTTGCTTCGGGCGACAATACGGCGTCCGATCCCAGAAAGATCCTCTTATCCAATGCTACTCGAGCTCTCCAGTCCTGCTTCGGTCGAACACCGGAGCTGGGGAGGGCGATGCTCCAAGTCCAACGTTTGGCAATCTCGTCAGCCACTTCGTCCTTGTCCAAACTTGCGTCAAACAGGAGGACGACAGCACACGTAATGGCTTCGATATGCTCCAGGATGACCCTGCCCTCATATTGCAACTGGGAACCATGCACTTCTCGACACAATTGGATCAATGCCTCTAGTCTCGTGTTGACGACGGCCGCCTCCGGCCTAAACGCTCCGCTGCTCTCGACCTGCCGCAGCACATCCCTAACCCATTTTGCGTATACGTTTTGCAAAACGTCGCCGCCTCCCAGCCTTTTGTCGTTGATCACCCGAAGAGCATCCTCGGCCATTATACTGACTGTCCCTTCCCATATAGGACCCGCATTGGCATCTCGAAAGAGCCGGCTCAGATTCATAGTCCCACCATCTTCGTAATTTTCGCAGTATCCCACTCCGCCTAAACTCTCCATACACTCTCGGACACCCAGGACCGATTCGAGAGAGGTTCGTGCTTTGAAGACTGGCGTGAGGAACCGTAGAAGATCTTCCACATCCGTAGCTTGCGGTGGGAATAGGCCTTGTGCCCTGGTGTTCTGCATGATTGAGGGTTGCTCGGTGGCACCAAGCAAGGCGACTTGAAAGAAGCATGCATGCATGTGAGCCCAGTACTTGACTGTCTCACCAGCCATCCAACGAAGATGGACGGCATTGTCCTGAAGCAACCCGTGGGCAATGGACCGGGTCCGGGTGAACGCCCGGCTAACAGACAGGGATCCTGCCCAATAACCTACGCCACCAGTTGCAGTGTACAGCCGAGTCAAGTTCAAGATAACAGCGATCTCTTTGACGCCTTTGCCTTCCTGCCCGATCAGCCAGCCACGCATGCCCTTAAGCTCAAGTTCGGCAGTCGGTAGACCTCTAGTACCGAGCTTATTTTTCAGTCTCTGGATTCGGACGCCGTTGAGCTCGTTCTGGCTGAGCGTCGAACCTCCGGAGCTACGACGTACCGGTGCATAGAAACAGCTCAGGCCTTTGTCGGTCTGGGCGAGGAGTAACGCCATGTCGGAATCCGTGGCGCTGCTGAACCATTTGAACCCGTCAATCTTCCATGGCCCCAAGGGCATCCCATGAGCATCGAGGTGGCGGCCATTTCTGTTGTCCGCCTCTAGTTCGGTAGGGCTGAGTCTTGAAGCCACGCTTTCGGTGTCTCTAACATTGCTTCCCCCCGTCCGTTCTGTCATCCATTGCCCTGATGTCCAAGCGTAGGTGGGGTCGGAGGAGATGAGGCGGCTATACACTTCAGTCAGGGTTCTTCGAAGGCCTGGCTGATTCCCATCCTCGTCTTGGAGATGGCGCTGGATGAGTTTGGCGGCGCCGTCAGTCATTGACGCTGGGCATGTGACCAGGGCATCGTGGCCAACCCACACGTGCCCCAATCCAAACTGGTGCACTCGCCGATTCCACGTCGTTGGCTTTTCATCACCTAGCGACTGGTAGCCTCGGGTGACCATCCCGTTTGAGACACCAATCTCTTTCAAGCGTCGCCATCCTTCTCCTGTCCACAGTGGATCGACCTTGTTGATCTCACCAAACGTGTTGAGCGGGATCAATCTCGGCGGATTGGTCTCACAATCGACGGTGAGTCGGCGAGTCGAGGGATGAATGGCTGTGGAACTGAGCTCGTCAATTGACGAGAAAACCTCATCCTGCGCGTCTCTGGGTATGTAAAGCCGAAGGATTCTCTCAAAAACGGCATCGTCAGAGGCTTTCGAAGCTGATCCAATCTCCTTGGAATACGTAAATAGTTGCGGAACGACAGGGAGCTTGTGGAAATATCCCTCTGTAGAGGACGATGCGGCGCGTCTCGCCATTTTGAGCAAGATATTGTGGTTCGTGTCTCTAGCTCAGAGACATGGAAGAAGCCAAAAATGTCACCGGGGAGAGAAACTAGCTGTGATAGCCGTTCTATATATGCCATTGTTGGACAGCTACAGCCCTTGGTAGATGGGAGCGAGGTGGTGATTCGGCGAAATGGCGCTCGGCAGTGTTGACGGCGGTACATTCCCCGCAAAATGAGGATGCGGAGGTTATCGGAAGTACTCGTACTGTATGTACTCCGTAGTATATTAAATAACACGCTTGCCCACTGTTCATCAGTATCAAAGTCAGATAGTGCTGATGACTAGTGGATAATAACACTGCTCTCAGCGTTCTCGATGGCATGGATGCTTTCACATCTAACCACCAGTGTACCTCAGTTCGTGTTCCCAGATCGTCCTAAAGACTCTAAGTGGAAAATGTAGTCGACTCTCTTGTCCTTTCCGAGTGTCGCCTGACATGAGGGAGTGCGTAGGGTGGTAACCTTGTCGACTGACCCGACATTTGGCCACCATCGATTTTACTCAAGGATTGTGCTAGTCCGTGATAACTTGTCCTCAGATACATGACTTTAGGGCTGGAGCTACAGATGACGCTCGGAGATACTTTTTCCCGACTGCCACTGTGGCCTGCGTGATCTGACGTACCTATAAGCGGAGCAGTTTCTCAGACCCCTGGCTCGGCGCCTGCGGCGTTTACGCACAACGCTAAACCTTTTCCGGAGGAAAAGACAAAATGACCCTCTGGGGCATTTTATTGGTACACGCTTCAGCGCCGAGATGACCAATCAGCGCTTGCGCTTGGATCTGAAACAATCTCATTCTCTTCTCCCGGCTGCAACCACAATCTTTTGCGAACGAGTAGCCACTGAGCAGCCTGTCAAACAACACCCTTACATTCCATAAACAAACCCCACAGATCCCTTTGGGTTGGCCTGTCAAGGCTACTATAGGACGGGCTGGCCTTAAACCTTTGATAGACTCAATTCAACAGCAGCCATGGATGCTGCGGAGAAGTCAGACATCGTTGAAAAATCAGATAAAGTAAGAACGTCAAAACACCCATTGCGCGCCGCGAGAAGGAGCGCCGGTAGGGCTCGGCTTGATGAGCCTGGCGCAGCAGTTCTATCAGCGGTAAGGACACTGATGATCAGTACCCTTTGCCATGGTGCAATCTGATGTCTAGCACAGGATCGTCGGGGACAGCTTCGACGTGCTCAGCAAAAGTATCGACAGAAGAAAGAATCTCTTCTTCAAAGCACGAGAGCACGTGTAACTGAGCTTGAATCCCAGATTGACAAGGTTGCCGAAGCCCTTGATGCCGTTCAAGATATTATCCACAAATCAGAGCTCAGCACAACCCATTCGACCCTCGTGACGCACATGAACAAGATCGAAAATCTTCTCGCTCATCGCTCTCAACGTTCGAGGTCCTTGAAAATATCCCAAAGCTCGATAAACCATGCAAATGATGGGAGTGATGCATAGTCAGTATCATCGCTGGACTCTGTATTTGGCTACCGACTTGGAGCCGGACCATCCCACGGACATTCAAATGGGTCCGTCGAGATACTGGGCAAGCAAAGCCATAGGGCACGATCCCATTCAGCTCAAACATCATGCCTCGTGAACGAGCAAGTGGTAGAAACACCCTGTACTTTTCCGCTTCAGCAAGCCATTCCTCCCGCATTTGGGTCAAATACAAAGTATAGCTATTGCTTTCAGGAAAGAACCTTCTCCCGACGGTTACAGCGCTTTTGCCTGGAACACACATTCCAGATGTTTGAGGATCCAAGGTCCGATCCAACCGCAGTTTATCGCATGTTCAGATTAGTTCCCTGCATACAGGACAAGGCAAAGATGTCCCCTTACTTTCGGAGGCTCCTTGACGGTGGGATCAATGACCCCCTGGAGATTCGTTCTCTTCCATTTTATGGCATTGGCGGCGCTGGAACGCATTTTCCAACTGTCGACAAATCGGGAAACCCCGTGTTACCCTCAAATACGAGACTTCCCCGACGAGTGCTGGGCATTCTGGCAGCCGCTGAACCCGAGGACGGCAACACATCAGGCCAGGATCGTGAGAGGTATCTCGAAATTTTTGGTTATGGTGGTCAGTGGTTTGATTGTAGGGACGTCGAGGGCTATCTGAAAGACAAAGGCGTTGATCTAGATATGTCTTCTTTATATCCAGCGTTGAACAACACCAGCACACAGATCCCCGCGTCCTACCGGCAGGTGCATACACTATCCGGCATGGATAGTAGCGCAAAGACTCCTCAACCAGGAGGATCTGTCCACGACCTTATACTTTCGACTCCTACACCTTGCCATCCTAGTGATGAATTCCACATCTCAGACACCACCGTGTTTGGACACCCAGACCATCATACTGGTACAGTATCCCTTCCATGACATGCACACAATTGGACTAGATGACTAGAAATGGGCTGACAGATGATAGATTACTTTGATAATTCTACATTCCAGCGAGGTCCTCGTTACAGCCTTGATGTCCAGAAATTCTTCAACCGTGAGTAGCCCGACGGTGGCCCGCTCGACGAAGCTCCCTTTACGTGTTCTGACCTATGACTAGAATTGCTCTCCGGATTGGTCCTCCTAGGTCGGGCGCCAGGATTCAGACGGACTGAGGTTGAGGCTGCATTCGAGGCTTCCTTGATGCCACGAATTTTATTCTGTTAAGACGGTAACTTCTTGTACTACAAAGACCCGATAGCGCCAGGATGTATGACAATCTCGAGAATCTCTTCGCGTTGATTACCCCATGCCTTGTTCTCTTTATTCGAACTAGGAAATCCCGCTTATCATTCCAAAGGCGCTTTTCAAAGCATGGCTTCAAGCCGCAGAAAGACGACCCTTCTGACTCTCCATTTGGGTAGATCAACTTTCTCTTTGGCAGCTGGCGATGGCGATTGAATGTATCTACAGCTAGGTCTCTTTTCGCTTTTCGATCTGTTTTGCCTGCGGTGAGGTGTCAATCGCCTTCCACCAGGGCCAACCTGTGGGCGAATCCTGCTCCATGGTGCCCTTGAACTCTGGACGCCGCTTTTGCGAAAAGCTCTTTATTCCCTCCTCGCTGTCCTTGGAGAGCAGCATTCCAAGGAAAATCTTCGAATCCAACAAGTGGGCCTCTTCCGGTGTTGGCGGTCCTCTATACATGAGATCGTGCATCACCGTCGTGCTCACGATAGATGAATGTGTTGCGATTTCCTTGGCAATTTCTAGTGCCCGAGAAACAGTGGCTTCTGGTGTTGCCAATACCTCAGAGAAGAGCTGATTGAGAAGTGGGTCAGACGCTGCATGTGTTGCGCCGGTTGACACTAGATGCAAGGCTCGCGACATCCCAACCAGCCTCGGAAGGAAAATACGAACTGCACGCCTCCATAGAGAGACCCCGCCGCGCAAAGGCAAAGCTGATTTTCGACTTTGCATAAGCAACCCTGATGGTGGCAGGGAGAGTCATCGTTATTCCGAACCCTACCGCCGGCCCATTGATAGCTACGACCGTTGGCTTGCGGCAGTTATGGATTGCTAGCGTTACACGGCCGCCTCTAAACCCACTTAGCTGTATGTCTCGAAGTCCTTCGGTCTGGGACATTCGCTTACCCATCTCGGTAGGTCTCGACGGATGAAGGGTCTTGTTTCAGATTCTTGACAAGTTTGGAAAAGCCGACCTCAAGATCCGCGCCCACACAGAACGATGGCCCAGCGCCCGTTATCACGATTGCTTTGACACGATCATCGGCGTCAAAATACCGATATGCAGTAATAATCTCCTCGAGCATACTCTCTGTCACTACATTGAATCTCTTCGGTCGATTCAAGATTAGAAGAATGACTTCAGTGGTGGTTGGAGACGTCGCAGGGACATGAGAGATCACAATCTCCTTGAACGGGAGGGAAGAGTAAGTTTCGGGAAATAACTTGGGGTTTGTCATATCGTCACAGAAATACAAGTGAGCAATCTATCTGCTGTGGGCTTGCAATCCAGGAATACATGGCAAAGACGGGAAGCATTTACTATTTATCACAGAGTATTCGAGATACGAGGGTCCTGGGTGGAAGACTTGGCTACACTGAACATTGGATGCCGAGATATTGTAATCGAGCAGATAATACGACCGAGCAGATATTCTAATCCACGCCGAGAGAGGCACATCAATGTGGATCAATCCAGATTGTGCACATAAACATCCACACACCGGCATAATATATATAACAAATGCTTGAAAGCCACACATCAATTTGTCTGAGAAAACTACGCATTCGCGAGGTCTGACCTCAATCTGCAACTTTACCACTACAACGGCATCTTTCCATGGTGAAATGGCATTCCACTACACATTGGGGGTTTTCATGCCGCTGATCGCCGGCTACCTGTGTTATGTCAGGTATCACAGGTACAAGCGTGAGAGGCTCCTATCTCAGCCATTTGGCCCCAGCGGACGGCCGCTTTCCTCTATGACGCTCAATGAAGCGTACGCCATAATCGACCAGCTTCAGACCCTGGAATTTCCAACAGCGTTCGACAAGGCCCGGGCTTACGCTTTACTAAAGGTAGGTGTCTTTTTTCAGTCCTGCCACCGTGATCGCGTCCACCATTGCATACTGACATGGGGTTTCGTAGACGGGTGGGATCCCGACAATGACAAAACTCTTCATGCAACCGGCCAAAACAATCCCAAGAAATGCCACGAAGCGCGCGGTGACACCAAACATTCTCCTTTTGGAAACTCAAACCAATCCAGTTGAACGTC